AATAAGTTGCTCAGCTCAAACATAGGGTAGTCTGAAAGTGCTAAGGTAGAGAACTTGGGAGGGAACATTAACTGCTGAGTGGAAACTCCCAGCCAAAAAAGGGAAAGATGTATGTGCCAGTCTTTTTAATAGATAATCCTGAAGTGCATTTGCACAGTTCCTCAGAGGGCCCTCAGTGGAATTGAGTTCATTTGCCCACAGTGGTAACCAACTCATTAACCTACACTTTATTGGGTTTCTTTCCATTCCTTTATCGCTTTTCACTTCTGCTTCCTGAGAACATCTCCCAAATAAGCTAAGCCCTTGTCTCAGAGTCTTCTTTTAGGGGAAACCAAATTAAGACAATCTTTTTTTCCAAGTGGCAAAAATAGGAAAGGGTTACATATTGACATCTGGAAGGATATTCTTGGTTGCTTGAGACATACATCTAGTTCATATTATGTTTTCAATTGATTCTTTTCAATGCACCATGGTTATTTTAAGGAGCCATAATCTGATGGTCTTTAGCCCTGCCGTTTCGGCCTAAATGTTATCACTGAGCTTCTGCTTTGGTCTTAAAGGCATCTCCACTTTATAAAACAATAATGCTGCCAGTTTTCATTTATAAAGCAATTTTGGCAAATATTATACAATATGTCTAAAAGGTATTCTATCCTTACAATTACCATGTAGATGTTATTGTCCTCATTTTATGGATGCAAAAAAAGCTGAGAACTAGAGAAGCTAAGTGATTTGCAGAAGGTGACACTCGTGATCACCAGAGCCAGAACTGGAACTCACGTCTGTGTGACTCCATGGTCCAAGCTCCACACCACTGTGCTCCACTATTTGAACCGCACATCTAACAATTGTTTATCCATTATGGTCACATACACTTCTGCTTGTATATTGAACTCATAACCAATAATTTTCACTTGGAGATAACTTCATTTGTAAAATGGGGATAATGATGCTACTTTCCTCATAGTGCAGTTATTAAATTCTTAAATGCATTAATATTTGTGAACATAAAGCTTACCTAAGAGTTTATATAAAATGCTTACTGTATTATCTTTGTTAGTATTCTATTATTGCTGGAATTACAGAGGGTCCATGGCCTTTTTCTTGAGTCCTTGATTAGACCATCTGTAACCTCTAGTAGATAAGGAAAGAGTGATAGCACATAGGAAACTGCATGGGGATTATTTTAAGAGCTAAGGCCAGAAGTGCTGAATATCAGTTCTGGCCATTCCACTGACCAGTATTAAGTCACAAGGCCCCACCTGACTGCAAGGGAAATTGGTAAATATAGTCAGTGTGCCCAGGAGGAAAAGGAAGTAAAGTGATTGCATAGCAATACCTGACATATTATTCTCTTTATTTCTCTTATTAGTGATATTGAACATCTTTTCATATAACCGTTGGCCATTTCTATGTCTTTTGAGAAATATCTATTTCTCAAACTCATTTTAAAATCAGATTATATTCTTGCTATTGAGTTATTTGAGTTTCTTACATAGATTGAATATTAATCCTTTATTAGATGTATGGCTTACAAATATTTTCTCTTATTCTGCAGTTTGTCACTTGATTCTGCTGATTGTTTCCTTTGCTACACAGAAGCTTTCTAACTTAATGTAATTTTGTCTATTTTTGTTTTTGTTGCTCGTACTTTTGGGGCGGTACCAAAAAAGTTACTGCTCAGACCAATGTCAACAACAATTTTGTCTACGTTTTCTTTTAGTAGCTTTATAGTTTCGGGTTTTATTTTTAAGTCTTTAATCCATTTTGAGTTGATTTTTGCATATGGTGTGAGACAGGAGTTCAATTTTATTCTTCTGTATGTGATGTCCTGTTTTCCTAACATCATTTATTGAAGAGATTGCCCTTTTCACATTGTGTGTTCTTGACATCTTTCTTGAAAACCAATTGACTGTAAATGAGTGGATTTATTTCTAAATTCTCTATTCTATTCTATTCTATTCTATTCTATTCTATTCTATTCTATTCTATTCTATTCATGTGTTTGTCTATTTTATACTATTAGCACACTGTTTTGATTAGTATAGCTTTTTAGTATAAGTTGAAGTCAGACAGTGTGATGCCTTCAGCTTTATGCTTTTTGCTGAAGATTATGTTGGCTATTCAGAGTCTTTTGTGGTTAATATGAGTTTTATGATTATTTTTTCTATATGTTTGGAAAATGCCATTGGAATTTTGATATCACATCAGAAGGAAGTACAATAGGTAAAATTGTTCATGTGGGCATTACTGCCCATGAACTGTAGCTGTTACTCATATGCATGTGCCCAACAGCAACTGTTGTCTAAAGGAATTTTTCACTATGTTCCCTAGACTCCAATTATTATAAAGAATAATTCACTCACTGTTACTCTCTTACTCCTTAAAACAAAATGCTCTCCAGAGATATCTTTAGATAGTGAAGACATGATCCTAATTTCAAAAATATTTCTCTTAACAATCTCTTCTCCTTCTGAAGAGATTGTTTCTAGTAAATTCTTTGAAAAGAACAGGAATAAAAGTTTACTGCATTAAATTTTCTGGCTCTAGTAATGACTGGTTATGTGGCTGCCACCATAATTTAACTTGTAAGTTTTGGTTTTACTACTTATAAAATATAAAGAAAGCAAAAAATGATTTTCCATTTTGCATTTTAATACGTGGCCATAATCCAGGTACTCCTAAGCATTACTTGAAAGGATAACATCTATAAACGAGTATATGCTTCAGTTATAATTGTACAAATAGATTGAATTTCAGCTATTTTTTAAAAAGAAACATTGTTCTAAGATTGTGACTTTACCTACAGTGTACTATTTAGAAACACTTTAAGTATTTACAGTAGATTTTGTTCAAAACAGCTAACACTCCTTCCCAAATTCAAAAAATTTCCTCCAAATACTCCCTTTTTTTGCACTATCTCATAAGAAAAATTGATTTTAGCTGTTCTGTTTCAATAAATATCAATAATAGAGATTTTTCTTAGGTTAAAAAATCTATGCCAATTTGAAAAATAAGACTTTGGTTGCATTGCTGAGGAACTCTAGATAAGATTATTTGCTTTGTACTCTCTCTTTCCATTATTTAGATTCCTTATGCAAACAAAGATCTGTAGGATAAGAATAAAGGTAATATTAGCATTTCCCTAGATGTCATCATGAAAATATCTCAAAACTTATATCAGTTTTATATCTCCAACAAAAGAGTCACTTGCAAGTAATCAGCAACATAGTCAATGATAGCCAAATATTTATCAGGTCTGACCAAGACACATTCTTCTATGATATAGCTGGAACTTAAACCAGAGCAAATTCTGAATTCCTCAACACAAGCAAAATATTTTTCCTATGTAAAGAAGTTTTATTAGAATAAAGTTATATAATTACATATTAGCAGGTATTTAAGATCAGTGCTGCATTAGTCTATTTTGTATAACATTAGACTATTAGGAGCCAGAAAGAGAAAATGTACATAAAAATCTTTGAAAATATGAACTAAGGTACATATATTAAAAATAGTATGTGGGATAATTTTCAATAGCAGTAGAGTTCTCTTGTTTATCACCTCTGAAAGTCTGACCTATTATTTCTTCCCTTCTGAACATCCCATCAGCTTGTGAGAGTTGACAGTCCCTATTTACTACACTCTCTTCTCTTTTTCCTTCTATTGTAAAACATTATAACAAAAAAGTTACAGTAGTACATTGTCCCACCCCTACTAAAATATAAGATATTTTCAGTTGAATGCAAATTATTTTAAGAATTATTATGAATTAAAAATAATCTATGAAAACTTTTTGTAAAAATACAATGTCAAAGAGTCAAGATTAGAGAATTGATAGTTTTAAAAGATGCTTGGATGAATAAATGTATTAATGAACAAAGAAAATAATAGAGAAAGAAGGGTTGTTACAGAGGTTAGGAGAAAATAAAACCAGAATGTCTTCTTCCCTAATTGAACTGGTGCATATGATTGGTATATTACAAGTGTTTCTGACACCAGGAAAGGCACACTGCTCAAGACTATAGGTCAACTACATAGCTAACAAAATCCTAGAAGATAGTAAGCAATCCCTGATCAAAAATATAGTGATAGAGTTGTAAAATGTGTAATCTGAATTTTTCAAGCCAACAATAAAAAGATAGGAATAATATGACTGAAAATAGTTCAGTAACTTCAATATAACACCTGGTGGAGTGCCTGCCATTTATAAAACACTGTGCCAGACACTAGGTAGGGGTGACAAAGATGAATAACATATGAACTTGAAATCTAGTCAAAAATCTTCTAGCCTAGCAAATCTAGGAATTCGCATACTAGAAGTCATAATAAATTCTGGCAAATGACACATTCCCTTCCCTGCTAGCATTTATATTCAAAATATTCAAATAAATATTAATGAAAATCTTTATAAAAACGTGAGGCTTTGTCTGCAGATCACTCCCATGAAGAAAGCTCTATAACTTTATAATTTATCTCCAGACTGCATCTAGGAGATGGCATGCAGATCTTCTTTAGGTTAAATTTCTGCAGGGCAGTGGAATGTGCCATGATTAGGTTGGCTCTGCACTGGTCTCAGTCCTTAGAAAATATAACTTATCCTCAGACAACAGTGAAAGAGCCATCTGCATACTTTACATAATGATTGTAATGCCTGAGAAAAATGTTGAATTCACAAGAGAGAAATTAGCAATAATAACAGAATTTATGCCATTAAAGAATTGCTACTGGATTCATTATGGAGAAATACCATGAGATTAAAAAGTAAATCTATAACATAATTCAACTTTTGTTGTTTAAGGTTCCCTACACCTAAGAATTGCAGCACATGATATAATGAGTTGCATTTTTTTTATTTTAAATAATCAGTCCGGAAGGCAAAGAGGAAGCCAAAGGAAGAAAACATCACTTATCATTTTGGGAATGTAAAAATAAAGTTAAAAACCACTCTGGTTGCTCCTTCGCTTCTTTCCTCAGTCTGTTCATCCTACAGATGCCTTGTAAATGTTGCTATTCCCATGTTTCTGTTTTCACACTTCTCGTATGACATAGTCACTCTGTAGAATTTCATTTATTTTTCTGTTCTTTTAAAAAATAAAAATAAATTTAGTGTTTTTCCCTCTTGAGTCCAAAAACAAGCTTATGAATAAAAAGAAATTAAGCAAATATCACCTGTAAAGTAAAAACTTAAATCCTTCCTGAAATTCTGTCCTTTGAATTTGATGTTTATTCATCATTTGTTTACTGATGGTTTACAAACCTAGCTCTGCTTCATGCCTAAGTTTTAGCCTTTCATTAAAGTGCTTAACTAGATTTCCAATAGGTTACGTGAAAATTGGAATGTCCAAGATTGAACTTGGTATGTTTTGCCCCACTACCCTAACAAAACATCAATCTAACCTACTTCTGGATTTTTCAACTAAGCTTATCATGTGGACATTTAAATAGTCATATAACCTGAACATCTGTAGCCATCTTAACTTTTCCTTCAATTTTCTTGGATTTTACCTCTTAAATGTTTCCTAGGCACATTTCCGCCCTCTATTCTCTTTGTCATTGCTAGTACTTAGTTCAAGCTCTCATCTCATACCTCATTTCCTCACTCCTATCTTGCCCTCTTCTAATCCCTCCTGTATTGCAAGGAGTATATATCTGTTTCAAAGGATATAGTTTAACCTTCTTAAAAGGGTATTTGCAACCATCTGTAACTTAGTTTTATGTCATATCTATATCTATATGCACACATATGCTTCCATTTTTTGACTGAAAGTTCTAGTAACAGTAAACTGGTGTAATCTTTTCTTCTTTATGCACCCACCCAGCCTTACACAAGCATTCAATATTTTATACTTTGATGCTTTATTATATTGTTTCCTCTTCCTTGGTAGCTCTACCCTCATCCTTCCCATAACTTTACTTTTCCTTCTTGGAGCTTTTACTCCTCCTTTAGGAATCAATTTGCATTCATTTCCTCCAGCAAGCCTTTCTTGGGCCTTTCCACCTGGATTTAGTGTCTGGAGTCCCATAGCAATGAACTGATATATCTGTCTTCCTCACCATACTAGACACTCCTTGGGGTTTGGGGTCATTCCTTTCTCACCGATGTTTTTCCAGTGCTCCACAGAATCTGGCAAATTTTGATAAGTAAATGTTTGAACAGTGAATGTCAAAGGAGCATAAGTAGCAGTGACTGAGAAAAGAAGAAACATAACTCAGTTATGTAATCCAAACCCTTAACTCCCTGCCCTACTATTTATATTCACTATCTTAATGAGTGTAGCTTCTTATTTCTAGGTGGGTGATACTCAGTTTTGTAGATATGTCTTTGATCTTTCTCCAACATATACTTGGATGTTGGGCATCCCCCTCTTGGATAGTGGACTTTTATCTTCCCTTTGCCATTTTCCATCTTGACTCTTTACTCTCATTTTTTCATATTATCCTTTTTCCTTCCAGCAATATTTCATTATACAATCTGATAAGTTCTTTTTTTTTAGTTTTTTAATGAAATTATTCTTTTCTTTTAAATTATTCTGTCATAATTCCACTTTAAATCCTTATAGCCTTGTTCTTAAACAGTATTCTACTACTAGATCTCCTTTCCTTCTCCCCTTTTAAATACATCCCAGTTTGATCTGGATCTGATTTGGCCACAATCTTCCCTCCCTTCCTTCCTTCCTTCCTTCCTTCTCAAATAAATAAACCTTTCCCCCTAGATAGGATAGTCTTTCACTAAACTGTCCAAAGCTGTCTTTCCTAAAGTGCCTTTTACTAAATAATGGATGTTATATAATTGATTTTTCCTCTCTCTTTCTCTCTATCCTCTCTTTCTATCTCTGTCTCTTTTTATTCTTTCTTTAGCTGTCAAGAACTTGTACTTGAATTTTACACACAATTGTAAAAATAAGTTGTGGGTGAATACTCAGTAATGAAAGCAAAGGTACCAAGTTCTCTCCTGGGCTCAGTACCCCTTGGCACCCTGATCTATTTCATATTTATTCATGTTGTGCTACCTCTGTCTCTGTAATGATGTATTTAGCTCATCACAATACCTGCTAATTAAGACAGGTCAATTTGTATTTCATTATACCTAGTCTAAGGAATTAGGTAGCTGAGTAGTAAAATATAAAAAAAGATTGCCATTAAAGAAATTTAAAAATGTTACAAAGTCATGTATAATTGAAATAATATCTTGGAAAATTGGCAATTCAGTACAACTTTTAATATTTTTCTGTATTATAACTTATAACTACTCTAATTGTATTCTTTTCTGCATATTGATTAATATTTAATATTATGGGATAAGTTTTGACCTTGCTTTGGTGATTAATTTACTGTAAATCTTTTGGAAATGATTTAATGTCCACAAAATTAAGATAATATTAATTGGGATAGCTTCACAAGAGAGAGAAAATTCAGATTTGAAAGTATTAAAAACTCTTTGAAAAGCTTTAGTTAAATTTAAGACTAAGCCATAGGTTGAAAATAGATGTCCTCTCAGCCCAGTTATTACCATTAGCTGATGCTTTCTCTGTGGTTACTCTATGGGAGAAGATTCTAAAGCTAGAAAGACTATTTGTTTTTTAATAGCTAGTTGGCCAGACCACCAATTGCTTTAAGATGCTGTGGCTCTGAATACAAGTGCAGAGTATTAGATTAATGGCTTTTGCTTTGACCAGCAAGAACAGGAGAGTTAGGGAATAAAAAGCAGGACCCCTGTTTTCCCCATGGCAGAATTCTTTATTCCCTGAACCACAGGAAGGATTAGTTTGAATAGTGGTGTGTAAAATGGATTCAGTCGTATAGATCTTATCACCTTTTATCCAGTAAGTGAGGGTTCAATTTAATAAGACACGGTATTAACCGTATTTGCTTTGTTTAGGACTTCTATATAGATTAGCAACCCTGGACTCTTTTTCTGGTTTTCTTTTTTCTTTTTTCTTGGATGGATGATGGTGTGATTAGCACAAAAAGAAGGTAATGGTGGTAGGAGTGGAGGAGATTTTGAAGGTGCAGCTTTGATAAATATTCAGGATTTGGGACTCACAGGAAGACACTGTGTCACAAGTCCTTTGTTCTGAAATCTTGTGATCAGGATCCGTCAGGGAAGCCTCAGTGGTTTTTGGTTTCTGCCTAATGGAAAAAAGCTAAAAAGATCTCTCTTTGGTTGCATTCTGCTACTAAGTTGTCTATCAGTCGATCTGCAGTTTCACAAAACAGAATCAAATGAACACAAAAGCAGTTTTCCTAGTTGGGATTCTAGGCCCCTATTCACAATGGCAACAACCACAACCCTTCTCCTCTGTACTCACAACCTCTATCTCTGTTTAGTATTTAATTTCCTTACAACATTTACTGGATGCCAGGCATTGAACTGGGTATTGAAATAGGATATAAGATGAATATAAAACCTGGCTCCTGCTCTTGTTTTCTCCACCTTAAAACTACAATTTTATGAAATAGAATGATTTGTTTATTTAGTAATCTCGATTAGAAACTAACCACACAGAATACACCTGGAGGCATAACTGAGTAAAACAAATAAATATAATAAGTCATATGATACAGCATCATGTTACAACATAAGATAGATAGGAGGATCTTGGGCAACAACTGGGCACTGAAGAATTATAGTGAAGATTCTGTCATGTGGATCCTCCCAGATGACTTTATTTATTTTTATTTTTTGAAATAGGGTCTCACTCAGTCACCTAGGCTAGAGTGCAGTGGTATCATTATAGCTCACTGCAAACTCAAACTCCTGGGCTCAGGTGATCCCCCTGTCTCAGCCTCCTGAATAGCTGAGACTACAGGAGCTCACCACCATAGCTGACTAATTTTTCTATTTTTTGTAGAGACAGGGTCTTATTCTTGCTTAGGCTGGCCTCAGGCTCCTGGCTTCAAGCAGTCTTCCCACTTTAACCTCCCAAAGTGCTAGAATTACAGACATGAGCCACGATGCCCAGCAACTTTAGTTCTTAGTGCCATTCAAAGTTAAAACACATACACACTCACATACACACAGATACACACACACGCACACACACACACACACACACAGAAACTGCTTGTCTCTGCAACAAGACATACATACACGAAAGATACCCAATGATTTGAAAGGCATCTGACATTCAATAATTAGTAGTTTCAGAGGATCTTTTCTTGTCAATTTAAATTTAGATAAGCTGCGAATATCAAAATTAAAACAAATGGAGCCTGTTTTATTCTTTTGTCTGGAAAAAAGATGATGAAAATTTGCAAAAATTATCCTTTTCTCCTAAAGGGATTTCAAGAATGTATTATACAGATATTTTCTTTTCTGCTCCTATGTAAATTAGAGAACACACAAATATTACCATCTTTATTTTGGAAATAGAGAAACCAAGGCATGGAACTCTAATGACTTCAAAAAGCCAGGAGACTGGGATTAGAAATCCTAATTTTAGACATAGAATCTGCACTGGAGTTGTTGGGGCTCAGAATACACTACCTCAAAATATGACTGTAGGAGACCAGATATGCCCCCCTAAAAATACACTTCTTTGGCATATTTTGAGCCAGTTATGTTATCAAAACCACAAGGGGGTTTTTGCCTAGTTGTTTGCTGCACAAAGATGCAATTATTAAGCAATGAGGATTGCAAGGAAGAATAAAATTTTAATACAAAAGATGTCTGTCAGGAGAATGGGAGAAACAGTATCAAATCCATCTCCCTGACCACCAGAGACCATGTGCTATTTAAGGAGGGCCATGTGCTTTGGGATAGGTCATGGGAAATGGTGATTCTTAGGACCATGAATCTTGCTCAGGGGCCTTTGGAATCTCAACTCCTTTGTCTTGTAAAAATTCTGCCATAACGTATAGGGGTCATTAAAATTTATTGATTTAGAGCCAGTTATAACTCCCTTTCTAGTTCATTCCTCAATCTTGGAGAATAAAGATATTGCTCTATCTGGCTGCTTCTTGCTGAAATGGGAAATAGTTGGGATAAGAGGAAAAGTGAAAACGTTGAGCCCATAACTTAAACTTCTTAATACCTGTGGTTGAGCTGCCACCCTCTCCCCACTAAGATAGTAAAGTATATCCAAAAAGTATCCACCCCCTCTGGAATCCCTTCTGGGAAATATTGGCCCAGTGTTCCCTAGAAGGATTTTCCATCCACGTTTCCCCTATATACTCATGAATATAGTTTTAGGGAGCTAATTTATGGGCAATTTCCAACTTGTTATGAAGCATGGGAGATCTGGGTACAGAGTTATCAATCAAACCCTATAAGTAATTTGAGAAACAGATTTATTTATGTCTAAAATGATATGCAGGAGAGTGGTCAGGTACTGACCTAGGTTTAGGATGACAAATCTAGCAGTGGGGTAGGTTAGTGGAAGAGGCAATAGATTGAGAGATCCTAACTAACGAGTTATCTTGCCAGGCAAATGAAAATCCCCAAAGGATAAGCAAGACAGGCTGGGCGCAGTGGCTCACGCCTGTACTCCTAACACTCTGGGAGGCTGAGGTGGGCGGATTGCTCGAGGTCAGGAGTTTGAAACCAGCCTGAGCAAGAGTGAGACCCCACTCTAGTATAAATAGAAAGAAATTAATTGGCCAACTAATATATAGAGAAAAAAATTAGCCGGGCATGGTGGCGCATGCCTGTAGTCCCAGCTACTCGGGAGGCTGAGGCAGGAGGATTGCTTGAGCCTAGGAGTTTGAGGTTGCTGTGAGCTAGGCTAACACCACAGCATCACTCTAGCCTGGGCAATAAAGTGAGACTCTGTCTAAAAAAAAAAAAAAAAAAAAAAGGGCATATATTTTCATTTCATTCCATTTATCCTTTTTGTGAAAGAGTAGACTTTAGGTCCTCTAGGGGCTCACAAGCCTGCTGTTTTTCTGGCTTCTGAGTTTGTGGGAAGATTTCTGGTGGTGTCACTTTGATATGAATGTGACGAATACCTGGTTTCAGTCCTGCTAGCTTGACCAATGTGTGTAGTCAGGAACACCTCAATAGTTTCAATACACTGTGGCTTCAGTTGATCCTTGGGATGCTAGTTCTGCCAAGTCTTGAACAACACCTTATCTGCTGGCCTCAAGGAATGGAGGGGGTATATCAGTGGGAAACTGGAGCCTGTTGGAAGCAAACTTAGAGATATAAGTTAACATATAGAGATATAAGTTAGCATATTACTAAGCCATTTTACATATGATTGAGTCTGCATTTCTGGGGGCAAGGGATCATTAGGCAAGCCCTGATTAGGGGTCTTCAGGCATGGTCTCCCATATGAAATTTCAAAGGGGCTAAGTGCCAACTTACTTTTGGGGTCTACTCAAATGCTGAGCAGGGCAAGGGACAGTCCTTTATCCCAAGTTAAATTTGTTTCCTGGTAGATTTTAGAGAGAGTCTTTTTAGAGTTCTAATCATACACTCAGTTTTTCTCAAGTATTTGGGTCTCCATGATGAATGTAATTTCTAGTCAATCCCCCAAATTCCTGATATCTATGGAGTAATCTTGGCAATAAAGGCAGCTCTGTTATTGCTATGGAGAATTTGAGGAAACCCAAACCTGGTAATTATTTGTTTTAAAGGAATTTTAGTGACTTTAGAGGCACTTTCAGTCCTAGTTGGGTAGCTGTCAACCCATCCTGAAAATGTGTCCACAAACACCAATAGGTATCAAAAGTTTCCAGGAACTTGTGGTATCATGGAACAATCTACTTGTCAATCCTCTCCAGCATAGGTTCCTTTTCATTGGGTCTCTTCCCTAAGGAGAGGCTGTGAACTGCCGTAAGGTTTTAGATTATTTCTCAGACATAGAGGGCAACTTGAATAGGGTTACACTTGAATAGTCTTCTGTGGGCTGGGCTCAGCAAGATAATGTTGTGCCCATTGTAAAGTGGCATCTCACCCAAAATGGGTGTTCTGGAAATTGATGAATTTGTTCAAGTACAGGTCTGATGAGGGCCTCGGGAGGAAGGACTTTTCCTTCTTCCTTTATTTTTTGTCATTATTTCTAGCAAAGCCTCATTCTTTTACTCTTTCCAAATTTTAGAATTTTTGGAGTCATGGTTATAATTATCCAATTGTAGGGAAAGAATTAAGGCCAGTTGGTTGGACAATTGCTGGGCTGCTCTTTTGACCAGCAAGTCTGCCGTGGTGTTTCCTTAATAATATGAGTGTCTGTCCTCTGATGTCCCTGGCAGTGCATAATGACTCCCTGGGCACCAAAATGACTTTTAATAATAACTCAAGAATTTGTTGTCCGTATTTAATTCCCAGAGGTAAGGTACACTTGCTCCTTCCAAATAGCTTCATGAGCATGTATTAGCAGAAAGGGAGACTTAGAATCAGCATAAATATTGATATGCTTATTTTTCCCATGGCATTGGGCTCTAGTTAGTGTAATTAATTCAGCTATATGAGCAGAAGTCCTAAGAGGTAGGGTTTGTGCCTCAGTTACCTGTTGGCCAGGTAAACACAGCATACCCAGCTTTGCATTGTTCTCATTTCATAAAGCTGCTTCCATCTATAAGAGCTCTTCATCTGGGTCAAGCAGGGGCTTATCAGTCAAATATGGCAACTAGAATGCACTTGGTTAAACATTTTTTTTTTTTTTTGAGACAGAGTCTCACTTTGTTGCCCAGGCTAGAGTGAGTGCCGTGGCGTCAGCCTAGCTCACAGCAACCTCAAACTCCTGGGCTCAAGCAATCCTATTGCCTCAGCCTCCCGAGTAGCTGGGACTACAGGCATGCGCCACCATGCCCGGCTAATTTTTTTCTCTATATATTAGTTGCCCAATTAATTTCTTTCTGTTTATAGTAGAGATGGGGTCTCACTCTTGCTCAGGCTGGTTTGGAACTCCTGATCTCGAGCAGTCCGCTCGCCTCGGCCTCCCAGAGTGTTAGGATTACAGGCGTGAGCCACTGCCTCCAGCCTAAAGATTTGAATACAGTCTTGGACTGGGGAACAACAGTCCATAGCCAGGAAGGTGGCTAGAGTTAAGGTGGACATCGCCTTCAAAGTTACATTAGGATTATCTAACAAAGTAGCCTGGTATTTACTCAACTGGCCTGTGTTTTATCAAAAGCCACCTTTTTATTCCAGTAGGGGTATTGCATAGTGCTTGGTGTGAACCATTGCCGGAGGGTAAACATTTCATATCACAAGTAGTAGCCACTGCTCTAAAATGAGTGGGCCATCCTTTTGTTACCACATCCAATTGCCTAGAGAAGTAGGCTACAGATCTCTTATGGCTCCCAAAGTTTGTGCCAATACCCCACGTCCAATTCCTTCCCTTTCTGGAATGAGTAAAACATAAGTAAGACTTATGTAAGTCCAGGAGGCCCAATGCGGGGGCAGTCGTTAATTTTTCTTTAATAGTTAAGAAAGCCTGTGACATTCCCCTGTCAAGTAAGGGGATCCTTTTTCTTTCCCTTTTAAGGTTTCAGAGAGGGGTTTTGTTATTAGCCCAAAGTTAGGGCAAAACCTAGCCTTACCCAAAAAGCTGTGTAAGTGTTTGAAAGTAGTACGGACTGCTACTCCTTTCACAGCCTCTCTCTGGTCTGAGAGGAGGTTCTGGTTCCCTGAGACAATTCAAACCCTAAGTATTGGACAGTGGGAAGTTAAATCTGACCTTTTTTCTGGGATGCTTTATATCCTTTGTCAGCCGGGCAATTTAATACAATTACTGCATGTATCAGGATATCATCTACATACTGCAAAATCATACGCTTGTCTAAAACTGTTTCCCTCAAATCTTTGGCTAGGATCTCTCCTGTTGGGAGTTTTTAAATCCTTGAGGGAGGACAGTCCAACAGTACTGGCATTTGGCTCTGGATTTTAAGTCTTCCCATTCAAAAGCAAATAGTTCTTGGGATCGCTTGCCCCACAAAGATAATCATAATAATCACTGAAACAACGAGGATTGCTAATATATATATATATTCAATGTGAAAGACGTCTGTCAGGAGAATGGGAGACATAGTCTCAAATCCATCTCCAACAAAGATCATGAGCTTTTAAAGGAGGGGCCACATACATTTGGGCAGATCATGGGGGATGGTGATTCTTGGCATCAGGAATTGCTGATGGGTCCATTGGCATCTCAACTTCTTTGTCTTGTAAAAATTCTGCCATTTCTGGGAAACAACTCAAAAAGTTCAACTAGTTAGTTAAGGAGATTATAAGAAAACTTATAGGGGTCAGTAGAGCCGGTTATAGTTATTATGAGACACTGCAGATGCAGGAATAGCTCTTAAAAGCTTTTTTTTGTAGAAGAAATTTACTTCTGGAAAGTAACTTACATTAGTATAAGTATCTGTATTGGGGAAAGGACTGCTCTGGACAACTTTTATTGTCTGGGAGACTTTCAATCTCTGTAACAAGACAACCTTTATACATTTCCTTCTCTCATTCTCCCATAACTTATGTCCCAGGAGCCCCAACTTCCAGGAGCCCCAACCCTGTTTCTTTCTGTAGCTCAGGATGCGATATAAGCTTTAACCATCTGATCCTTCTTTGAGCTTTGTGTTTTGTGGGACTCCTGTGCTTTTGCATGTAATTAAAATGGTTTATCTCCTGTTAATCTGTCTTACTTAAATTTAATTTGTAGCCCAGCCAAAGAACCTAGAAGGGTAAAGGGAAGCCATTTTCTTCTCCCCATACAGAGGCAAAACAGATTGTCCATAAAAGACACTTTTACTAGTGTTCTTTGGCCTTAATTTGTGTATTTGCTTTCTGCCTAGATTTTAACACAGAAGAAATCACAAGAGCAAAGTGGTGGTACTAGGCAAGGGGGAGAGCATGAAAGGACCTCCTCCTTTTGTTTAGTAGGGCTGTTTGGATAGGAAGAAAGTTTAGAGGTAAGGGAAAATATTTTTAAATATATACTGGTACATATTGCTCTTTTTTTGGAGGTTGAAGCAAAGATACATTTTTCTGAGAAAACAGAGTTGCTAAGAGGCAAAATGATGGCCACCATCTTAGCTTTTTCCCCAAATTCATTGTAATAGGAAGACGATGTAAAATGGTCACCCGTGGCTACCTCGTCCAGCTTCAGTTTTCTGATTATTTGGAGTCTAGATATCTTCAATTTAGCATATTCAAGCGCTTTAATTTTAAAAGACACAAGTTTAAAAATGGCTGTATTTCCATATGCTGGAATAGTTTTGTAAATTTTATGAATTGTTTAAGCTACTCACCTTCATACTTCCAAACAGTTTGCAAATAGCTAAGAAATTCACTGTGGCAATTTAAGCAGCTTGCTGTTGATGCAGTGTCTAACATGTTTTGACAGACATGGGAGCTTTCCAACATATAAATTGCTATTGTGTTTCAGCACAATTCAAGCTTCAACCACCTGCGTTAGAAACAAATGAAGGATACTGCTTTTGGCTTTCTAGGAGGAATCTTGCAGGTATCACCAATAGATGAAAGAAGGAGAAGTTATATTTCAAAAACACTCATATAGATTTTTAGGCCTGAGAAAGACTTCAGATAAATGTCCACTCTTTCCTCCCTATTTCCAAGCAGAATTACATCCACTTCAGGCAGACATTTATTTGCACATCATGGCACCAACCGTTTCACCAGTACAGCCTCATCTCTTGGATTATGTATTATCTCTAAAGATATTCTCTTAAAATATAAATAGCCTTGAGATGAGGTAAGATTTAACGGAAAGAGAATAGGATCTGGAATCAGAAGGACTTAGTTTCATGTTTCAATTTCATCACTGACCCTGTGTACAACTTTCGGTAATTTTCTTAATCATCCTGAACCTCACTTTCCTTATTTGCAAAATTGAGATAACAACTACTTCACAAATTATTGAAATGATATAACTATAAAGGAAAATAAAAATCTCAGGACCCCTCTCCTCTACTGCTTACACATAAAGAAAGGTCAAGCCTGGAAGCTGAGTCATACAACACCCCCTTCCAGATGAATAGCTGTTACTGACATTGTGTATTGTTAGCCAGACCTCCATGGAAAGGCAAAAGGCCTTAGGCATATACAAAGGACTGTCCCCCACAGATGGTTGATAAGATAATTGGCATAATTGATTCTTCCATAACTCCCCTTTTTTCTTCAAACATTCCTTTTATCTTTCATAAAATGAAGATTTCTGGACCTCAAAAGAATGTAACCGTTTGCCTCACTACCCACTGGTCTCCTCCTTTTTCTTTGTGTATGTCCTCTTCCCTTAAATACTGAGTTCCCAAATCCCTCTTTGGAAAAAAATAGTCACAGATGCATCTGTGTCTTGTATTTTTCCTTAAATCTTGGCTTGCTAAACTTCGATTAAGTGTGACTCACATTTTCAGTCACTTATTATTTAAATTAACATATCCTATATAAACTTTATAGCACAGTATTTGGCTCAAGATATGGATATTTTGTTTTATTTAATCCCTCATATCAGCATTATGAAAAATATATAATCTCCACTTCATAGAAGAAAGTGCTAAAGTTCGGAGTGGTGATGTGGTTTCTCTTAGTACTTATGTTAAGTAAAAAGAATAGCCAGGATGGCCAAATAATTTCTTACTTATTGTTAGCGAGGTGCACGTTGGGAGTTGCTAACCAAAGGAAGGAGGAGGGAGTGAAAATAAGGAGGCCAACGAACATCTGCAATCCAAACCACTACTACTAGATTTCGTGGTTGAGGGACTGTCTCCAACACTGTACATGCACTTTTAGGAAGACTCATACCTTAGGGGACCTAGTGACCTGGCCATATCACTAAGGCCTCATTTGCATTGCAGTTTCCCACCCCTCACAGTGGGCAATCAAGGAGACTTATCGGAAAGGAGCATGCATAGAAAGAAAACTGTTATGTAATAGGAACATGTTAATCACAGATAAATATCAGAGCCCTTCGATCAATAAACTAATAGATCTCCTGACCTATTTTCCTATATAAAGGAAAAGATACCCGTAATTGGGGTCTTCTTCATTCACGGAGATAGACCCATTCCTCCCTCTGGAATGTACTTTTGCTTTGCAGTAAAGGCTGCTTGAGTGGAATTGCTACAAGTCTGTGATTACTCCGCTGTACCAGCCTTGCTTGTGATTCTTCCAAGCAAGGAGCTATAGAACCAGGACCTCTCCCACCCCAACACTTATCAGAGCAAATAAACTTTGGAATCTTCACATGTTTGTGCAATATTTCAAATCTATCTCTCAGTCACTTTTGAGGCATATATGGTGTTCGTTTTTTCATAGTTCTTACATCAATGGTGAAGGAAGTAAATAAAAATAGAACCAAGTTTGCTACCTTAACAAATGGTTCTTTATCATTATTAAACAGATATAAATTAATGAGAAATATTAATTGAATTTTAAACTTTAATGATTTTTATGATTGTGTTAATGCCTATCTCTCCTGCTAGACTGAAAGTTTCGGCAAAGCAGGGAGAACACGTATATATGCTTTATCTCTAGTTCCTGGTACATAGTAATTATCTATAAATATTTAAATTAACATTGTTAATTGAATAATAATATTTTTACAGTGATGCAAAATTCTACTTTTTAAAAGTATATTCTTGGTTTTGTGTCTGCAATTTTTCTTTATAATTCACATTTTATTTTTTTTCATTAATAAAAACAATTCACATTGTTAAACATGATTTAGAGACTATGGATAAGATTTAAAAAAACAATCCAAAATATCATAGTTTGATTTTTTCTTTAAAAAAATTGAAAAACCATTTTAGTTGGATTTCTGGAAGTATTTTTCTGGGGATTTTTTTGCCTAACCACAGGGCTTTTCCCATTACAAAAGATAAAATGTAATAATGACACTATTTGCTTTTTAAGTTTCAGCCAGGTATCTTGGCAATAGGTTATAAAACCTCTTTACATTCTTTCAGTTTTATTATTGTTTTGGTAAGATTTCTATGGGGAGCCACTCCCCTCAGGAATCTTATAATTAATTTTCATTATGCCTATTGATTTTTCCACAGTAAAACAGGAACTTTTTTTATTATTACATATCATAACACCTCTATTCTGTTCAGGTTAATTTTGAGTCATATGTGGCTTATCCAAAGACTTCAAGTAATTTATTTTCAGCATGATACACACGTAGCTAATATGTTAGCCTTAAACACTTTAATATTTGACTGAAAATATATTTCATTCACTTTCATATGTAGAATAAGCATTTGTTTAATATTAAATTCTCAAACTATAGCCTTTATCTTTGAACCTCCATAAGGGCTTATACTTTGTTCTTTCCTAGAGACTTGAATTTTTTAAAAGAAATTGTTAATTAAAAAATTGCCATATATATTTAAGATGAACTTATTTTAAACAATTTCACCTTGTTCTCTATACTTATTTTTAAGCATAGGATTTTTTCAATTGTGTTTTTGACTTTATCTTTTGTTATAACTCAATTATTCTCACTTCTTTCCTAGAATATCTAAGCATTTTTTTAAAAATTTAGAGTATTACAAATATACAGTTAAAAAATCAAATAGAATAAAAGGACTTACATTAAATATCAGAAGTCCTTTACTCTCTATCTTTTTTCATCCCTTCCTACACACAGTTCTACTCTCATCTAACTTTTAGCTATAAATTGTATTATTTACCTTTATAAAGTAATATTTTTTACTATTATTTATTAATGTATCTATTTCAAATATGAACTAATGACTTCTTGTTTGTATAGTTGAGTTTTAGGTTACTACCACTATCCTTCCCTCTCTCTTCCAAAAATAATTTTGTTAAAATGTTTGTTTAAATCAAGTGTTCACATTATGAGTATATAAGTGTTGGTCATAATTGAGCCAACAGATTTGCTATTATTTCAGTAGTAGACTACCTTTAGTTTGCCCTGAAGTGGATAATTTCTTTTTTGTTTTGCTTAGTTTTCTATTTGCCAACCAATAATCTTTACTAAATGCTCTAACAGTTTGTAAAATGCCTAGTAATAATTTTCCCCAAGAGCTCTAAGACAGATAATCTATAGTACCATTTATTATTCTTCCTGGAAACTGCACTTTCCCAACTTTCTCACCTCATGGTCTAATATTGACTGTTGTTCTCTGGGCCTGCTGCACAAAGGCTGCCTTGGAACTTCTTGGTAAATCTACATTGACTCCTCAATTTCTTATGTACTTTTTCTAGCTTTTTCTTTCGTGTGTTTTGCTGAAATATGTTCTTTAATAATCTCCCAAGAAGGAGGAAATGGAAAATAAATTTTGAATCATTAGGTGTCTGAAAATATCTTTATTCTAATCTCCTAGAGTGATAATTTGAGTGAGAATAGACTTCTAGGTTAAAAATCATTTTCCCTGAGACATTGGAAGGCAGCTTTTCTCACTCTTTTAGGCAGTGTGGCTAATGAGAATTTCCAATGCTACCACAATTTCCTTTCCTTTGAAAGTGTCTGCATTATTATCTGGACACTTTTAGAGTTTTCTTTTATGCATAGTGTTCTGAAGTTTTTATTTTAGTCATTGGCCTAGTCATTCTGAGAAATTTCTATAAGTAATTTATTTATCTCTTTCTTTTAGTTTTTTATTTTTGGGGGGTGATAGCAAAATTTCATAATTGTCTGATTTTGGACCTTCCAGATAAATTCTCAAAGACTATCATAGTTTATCTTATTTTTTTCATGTTCTTCTTTTTTTGAGAGATATACTTTATGTAGTACACTTCTGATTTTTCATTTCAGTTGTATTTTAATATAAAGACCTATTTGTTTTATCTTTCTTTCTTAATAGCTCTTATATTTGCTTGTCTATTTTTTAAGACACTGTGTCTTCTATTGATTCCTTATATGCCTATGTATAATTTTCATCAGCTTTCTTCTCTCTCTATTTTTTTATTTCTCTCTTTTTTTTGTTTGAGTTTTGAGTTGAACACTTTTGGTTTCTCTTTTTTACATTGAAATAGTCTTTAAATAAGTTACTGGTCTTCATCTGTCCATTCATAGTCCATTCATATTCAAGAGGAACCAAAAAACTCACTGGAGGCTTAGTCCCTCTGGGGAGAGGTTAACTCTATAGTGATTGGGAAGAGAGCCAGTCTTTTAATTGGGGGACCTAAAAATGTCACAATGGGGACTTCTGTTCTTGGTGCTGCAGATTTACACCCAAGAATATCCCTTTTCCAGTTTTTTTGTGGTAGGATGCAGAGAGAGAAAAATGTCCTTACACCTAGTTGCTGGAATCCTGGGCAAGGTAAGGAGAAGGTCAGAAAAAGGAGAAAAGAGAGAGAACAGTCATCAGACTTTACTGTATTTTTCATTCATTTTTCACTCCAGTCCTCTCTTCTGCTTGCCACTATGCTTATGTCACAGAGTACAGAGCTTTTCTGAGAGT